AACTACTTTGTTGTTTAATAAATTTACTACTGATTTTATAAAAGCGCCTAGGCGCTAATAATTGCTGCTGTGTTGCGATAATTTGACAGCAGGCGAATAACGCTGTTGGATAATTGGACTTGGACAGGTCATGCTGCAAATAAGTGCCACAGCATCTATGCGCCAAGCATTAAATTGGTTTACCTGTATACGTTCACTGAAAGTGGTTGATAAGAAATAGCCATGAAAGTGCTTGTGATAATAGCGGTACACCGCGTTGCTGCGCGTGCCAGAAGCTGGCCAGGAGCGCATTGATAATACACACCATGGCTGGTAATTTGATATGCCAATGCACATGAGATTTAACAACAAAGGGACGTATCATCGTTGCAAACATGCCCAGCAGCAGCAACCATGTGTTTGCATAGCCAACTGATGGTGGTAGCAGCGGAAATATCGCTAAACACACACTTAATGGCAACCATATGTAAAGCTTTGCATTATTACCAGGGAATGCGCGAAAATTTATTACTAGACTGTAAATTAAAAAAAACTCAATGCAATTAGTTTGCGCTCAAATTCCTTATAAGTTTCGGATATACCTTTATCAGTGCGGTGTAAATTTTCTAGAAAGTTTGGCGTACCAGGCTTATGCACATGACCAGCCGTGTCCAGACCCAGGAGATGTAAGAAGAAAATTACTTTTTCTGGCCTCCTTGGGCTTCTTTATATTTCGTGCCCATAAGATTTTTTCATCAGCTGGATGGTGTGCAGACTTTTCGGCTTATTTGCTGGAAAGTAACACCAGCAGAAATTATGCCAAGCAACCTCCTGTAATTAAGAAAGAATTACATTGAAACATATATAATACTATTATTTTACGCATACCTAACCTCCAGATTACACAACCGCCGCGTGCCAGAAAGTCTTATAATTGAAGTAAGATATGAATTCGCCGTGTATGTATACGGATTTTCATTGAATTCATTCTGACATTTTTTGCAATGAAAAAATGTACATACGTACATATGTATACGCTTTCCATTGCATAAATTCGCCTTGAATGGCTTCTGACATTTGTACCTATGTACATACATACACACATTCCACAAAGTGAACGTAGTAAGGTAGCTCGAATTAGTGAACCGTTTCAACATTCAGTTCACTCGCTAGTTGCAATAAAATAAATACTTTTATGACTGCTTAAAGATGCATTGTCATAAGCAAATATCAATGCATTAATTTTTTATAAGTCTATCAGACATTTTGATGTAAATTTCATAAGCAAACATGATATTTATGTATTTTATAACCAAACGGTTCTGCAATTATACTTACGAAATCTGCTGCATATGAGCTACCCTGTTTTAGCCGAGTATCGCCTACAGCGGCATCCAAATTTTTTTTTGGGTGGCAGGCCAGTTGTAGGGTTGCGAGAATGGCTATAAACTCTCCAAATGTCGATTAATACGTTTTTCGACAGCTTCATTCAATGAGGTTTTGAATGGATGATGACGAAAGTAGCAGTTCAAGTTATTCATAAAAAACTTCATTGTATGGAGAACACCACTTTGGCACTATAAGGTCTAACTATTTAGAAGAAAAATTCATTCAAAACTAAATCGTGTGGTATAAATAATTTGTATCTTGTCATGCATCCCTGTATGTTGGAATGCATGTGGGCGATCCAGTTGTCATTTTCATGGATCGCAACTCAACCATTAGACCCTATTCACATGCGGAAGTTTATGAAATACAATTAGTAACCACATAATGCCACATTCACACTTACAGAATCTTGTTTGTATCTCATAAACAAAAATTTGTCATGCCAAATGCATAGAGAATTTCCGCCTAAATTACTCGCCACCCAACAATATTTAAATAAATGGTTTCCGGTTCGAACGGATAGTAAAAATATTCCCATTTATTGCAGCAACTATGACTCGCTTCACCCAATTGCGCAAAAAAGCGGCACAACACGCACATCGCTATCCTCAATCGTGTCGCTTATGCAACGGCAAACACCCGATAAGACTGTGTCCGGTCTACAGGGCAAAAAATCCTGAGGAGCGACTTCGCGAAGCAATACTTGGCAAGTATTGTATCAACTGCCTCGCAATGACCCATCGAGCGGAAAACTGTACTAGTGCGGAGAGATGCCGCCGGTGTCATGACAAGCATCACACCACCATTCATCTGGACCCCATTGATAGGAGACCCTGGAGTCGACAGGTGGACGAAGAAGAAGACGAATTGGACGTGATCTCTATCTATGCATCCGAATCCGGAACGGAAACTCGGTCTTTCCGTCCGGAACTGGAAACTGGAGACGGTATTGAATCCAGAGCGGAGACTAGGACTCTCTGCCCGAACAATGACAGGGGAGCGGAAACTCGGACTTTCCAACCTCCACTTCATCACACGACTCAAAGAGTGGCTGCATTGGAAACTAGGTCTTTCCGATCACGCCAACATACGCGACGAACCCGCGGAGCGGAAACCGGGTCTTTCCGCCCGCACCAGCTAACCCCGGGCCCAACTGACCGTCGTGATCAGGGAGGAATAGTGGCACGATCTCGCCAACTCAGAGCACCGAACAACTTCCGAATGGGTCTTGTCAGTGCCGTGAGACAAACCGAGGTGCTACGACCTATGGTGTCGATTTCATCCACGGCAATAATCAAAGTCGAGCCAGGAGGAAGACTGCACCTTGTTCGGGCACTGATAGATGCTTGTACACCATCAAGCGTAATATCGAGCGACCTTTCTAGGGAGCTGGGCTTAAAGGTAACCCGGTCGGGGAAACAAAGAGGCTGCCTAGAGAGTATTCGAGGGAAGCACGGGGTAAATAAGCAGCTGGCAACCCATGCACACATAATAAAAAATTATCGACGAATATCGCCGCCTAGAAATGTCGACCCGGCCATAGCTGGGACATATGCGCACATTCGGCTCGCCGACCCGAACTTCTTCAGGTCCTCTCCGATTCGGATCGTCCTCGGCGCCGATGTCTACGCCGACATCATCATGCCCAGTGTTTTGCCGACATCTTTCGGACCTCTGTTGGCCCAAAGCACAATCTTTGGATATGTACTTTCAGGCGTATACCGCACGTAGTAGAAAAATAAAATTACAAGCCACATTTTATTTGCCTTTTTTGTACAAACATGAATTTTGAATTTTATTTGTTTTTTTTTTAGTAATAAAAGTGCATCTGAGAATATCCACGTATCTTTCATTTAATGCTTTTACCTCTCTTCCCCTCTATCAGCAGTATAGGTGGGAACGACCATGGAAACGACGTAGCGGCAATTAAGGAATCTGGCTCATCGCAGTTATATCCAGAAATAATTTCACATCATTTTATTTTTATATATTTTAATCACATGTACATAGGTGAGCTGGTAGCTGCTGCATAAATGTTAGATGTTGCTGGCCGCAAGGGGGGCGGCATGTTTAGGCCTTCAGCCTAAAGATTTTCATTCTTTTGTGACCCGCC